CAAAAAAAAACCAAAACAATAATAAAAATTGGTCATTTTCAATCTACGACTGTTTGTGAGACATTGCTGTGCGCAATTGGCTGCCGCGTTCGCTCACAAATATACAGTCAATTCACTTTACGGTGTGTTCTGTGAAGCGCTTTGGGACGTCCTCCCGACATGAAAAGCGCTATATCAAATGCAAGGATTATTATTATTATTGAACCGTGCAGGACGCAGCACCTTGGAACTGTAACTCCAAGTACTATGGACCTGTTAATCGTTGTTTGACCCAGCTCTAGGAAGGCAGCAAGCAGAAGCAAATTGCCTCCTTTCAAAAGAGAATAAGAATAAGATCGGAGGTTTGTCCTCAGACTGTTGCACTCAATAATAGGTCTCAGGGGACGCCCGTTTCTGGACCCTGGTGAAAGAAGAGACGTTCAATTACGAAGAAAGAGGAATAAGATCACAAGCTTGGACTGGATGAAGAAGACCCTTCAGCCCATCCAATCTCAGCCTTCCAGAACACTCACCATACAATCCACCCCATAACAGCATCAAGCTGTGTTTTTAAGCCAGTCCAGCATCCTGGTTTCTACTACCTTTCCTGTTCCAGTTGTTGCTTATTCTCTGCCTAAAGAAAAACTTCCTGGTATCTGTCATGAAATTGCCCTTTACAATTTTAATTTAAACCCATTTAGAATGTTGTACACCTCGATGAGGTCCTCTCTGAGTCATCTTCTCTCAAGACTGAAGAGCCCTAGCTTGTCTAACTGTTGCTCATAACTCATTCCTCTAACACCAAGCATCATCCTTGTTGCTCTTCTTTGCTATGTTCTTTGTTGCGGTGCCCAGAAATGGTGCAGTCTGACCATAGCACTGTACAGTCCAAGTATAACGTCTAGGGATCTAAACTCAACTGATTTAGCAACACAGCCCAGCATTCTGTTTGCCTGGTTTATTGCTGCCTCACTGTTTTGACATAGCAAGCAACAAATCAATTAAAACCCCTGGATCTCTTTAGCTTCCCCCTTAGCAAGTTCAATCCCAATCATGGAATACTTGTGTTTCACATTCCTGGATCCTATATGTACTACCTTGCATTTATCAGCATAATACTCTTCATTTGCCCATGTGCACACTCTATCAAGCTCTCTGTCGGACCTTTCCTACCTCCTCTGATTCCACCGGTCACTCATTGCATGGCTGTTTGTGGTGTATTGCTGTGCGCAAATTGGATGTCACGTTAGCCACGTAAAGCCTGCACTTTACCGTAAAATCCTGTGAAGCGCTTTGAGAGCATCCATAACGCAAGGATTATTACGATTATTATTATTATTACTTGGAAGTATTGTAACTAATTGTCATCAGCCATGTGTCACACACAGTACTGAGATGAATGGCTAGTCAATATACATGCGTGGCAAAGCACATACATGACGTCAAAATGGTGTCACAGAATCTTTTAAGGAACAACCAGGGATGGCAGATGTTATTTTAATTAAAAAAAAATTAAAAAAAGGTTTCTATCTTTGCTGTCAAAATCTGAGAATGAAATTGTCAGGATTCCAACATCAGCGCTGGAAAAAAATGCATAAAAAAACACACACCACTTTCACTTTTCTTTTCAATTGAATTGCCGGGCAATTAACCTTTCGAGTACAATTTGATAATAGGTGCGCCATTCCCAAACACATGAAAGCAAATCTCCAATTTTTCATTTTATTCAAACGCAAATCATTACTGAAATATTCTGCAGCCTCATTTCCTGGGTCACCCCTCTCACAATGCCAGTGTTCAGGAGGTTTTCAAACTGGTGTGGAGACACCAGGTAATGGAAAATAAAATGAAAGGTTAATGAGTCTACAGTTTATTTGTTCGTCAAGAGTTTCTGCTTTAGACCAGAAGAGACGGGGAGAAAAAGAAAAACGATTCTGCGAGCCTTGCTAAGAGTTTCAGGAAAATTAGAAAAAAAATACAGAATTGTCATCGACTGTGGTTAATTACTATTCAACCCACAGTATTCTGCAGAAACCTCAATAGCTTGCTTTTGCAGTAGAAGTTTGTACATCAGGTGAGAGATGGGAAATAAACTGAAAGGTTAACGAGTCTACAGTGTATTTGTACGTTCATTTCTCACAGCAAATCTAATGTGTGGAAATTCATAAAAGAAACTTGTAAATATCACTCTTCAATGATGTCAATAAATAGCCCCCAAAATGTCAGTAAATGGGAAATACAGACATCTCCATTGAATGAGGTCAAAAAATTGACCCGTGTCGGTAAATATCAATCCCGCAACGTCAGCATTTCACAGGATTTACTGGAAAGCGTAGTGATCGTGTAGTTAAGTGAGTTTAGACAACGACACTGGATGAGGGTGAAAGGTGGCATTGTGCCTGGTGTCTCTGGCTCGGTGTCTGTACCATTCCACCCTAACCCACTTCCCAATGTGAGAACGTGTCTGGATTCAGCACATGGTATGTAATGGAAGACATATGTTCCAAGGGTTTACTGATCAGGAAGACAAATGTAAATGAGTTAGCAAAAAGCACAAAGTGTGTACGCAGGTTAATCAGTCGTTGATGCCTAATACGCTGGGGCAGCACACTGCCCGAGCTATAGGGGTTTTCTTGAGGGGGAAGTGGGCTAGGGGGAGGGGATGGGGGGGAGAGAGAGAGAGAAAAAGAGACTGAGTCATCTAGATTTCTGGAGGGGAAGAGAAAACAATTCCATCTCCACATCCTGCTCAAACCAAATCTCAAGAGTAAGTATATTTCTCATCAGCTCAGAGATCACACCATGGACATTGGATGGCATCCCACCATCCGTTACCAGGCAAGTCATTCACACAGACTGAAATAAAGCATGAGTCCACCACCTGAGTAATGAAGGAATCAAAGTGAGAATCCGTCATATTTGTCCAGATTGGGGCATTGAGTCCAATCTTTGGCTGCTGAGGGTCGGTTGCCCTATTTGAGAAAAATAAAATAGGGTCGCACAAGCAATATTTCTGTATTTCCCCTCCAGAAACATAACGGGTTATTGGAGGAAGTGAGTAGACCAGATGAAATGGAGGGGAGGGGGAGGCTGGTTCCTATATTCGAATTCCAATACTTTACTGCCTTTTGGAACTATTTCACAGGAATTTAATTTAATTGTTAACCGATTCTCTCCTCCTACCTTCAATTACAACCTTGAGTTAATGCCACGCTTTAGTCCAGCTGTAACCCAACTTTGGCTCTAAATTTTTTTACTGGTTCCCAAATCCTGGATCCTGAAAGGAAAATGAGCCTCGACCAAACTGTAACACAGCACTCAAATTTCTTTCACCAACAAGAACGGCTCATGTGATTATCATTAACACAACACATGCGCTCACCTCAATAGTTCAAACACCAGTTACCTGAGGCAAGTAATAAACGAGCCGAACAAGTCAGAGCAAAGATGGAGCAAAGCAATGCAGACTGATTAATTTAACACCTCAGGAAATCTGGGTCTGATTCTCTCTCTCCCTCTCTCCCCCTCCCCCACCACCCGTCCTGTCTCCCTCAACATCGCCTGTGAAAGAGTGATACGCAAACAGGCCTGTGTGCCAAATTAGCCTTTGCTGAGCAGAACCTGAAGAGAGTTCAGTGTGAATACAAATCATTTGATCCTGTTGGCCGCAATCCCAGAGAGGATCAGAGCCTGCCAGAACCTAGGCCTTGATGCTTTTACATCTTCAGCGAGCGCAGTGAGGCTGATGCAGAAGCTCTCCAGAGGCCTCGTTCCGGAGGCTTCGTTGCAACATTGAAACGGAAAACAAAAGTGACATTTAAATATGTCGCACAGATTTATCAAAACGGTAACCAAATCTTGACATGAATGAAAAAGCCTTCGTTTGGACTCAAAAGTTATTGTGACCTTCTCCTGTCGTGGAACCACAGCTGATCTGCACCACGGCAGCTCAACAGACAGACATTTGCACTCCTCATCAAACTGCATTTTGTGCTGTCTTTTCCAGGTGCTCAAAACAGTGCATTTCAAACTATCTGTAGACGTTTATTCAAATTGAACACCAGTATACAATCCATGCAGTGCGGACATGGATACACAAGAGGCAGAAAATTCCAAAGCACCAAAACTCCTTCGCAAAAAATTCTGCTTCAAGTAGAGCATTCAAATAATATAGCTGATGGGAAACTACATGAGCAGTACAAGAAGAAAAATGTCCTTTCATCTTCAGGATCTATCTCCTATTGAGCCATTCTCAAATATCTAGTGAGGCGAGTCTTCTCAATCCAGCTTCTAGTCCACAACACAGACTCTGCCTGTAATAGTACCAACTTTGCTCAATAGTGAAGCAATGGTCACTCATCGGGTATATGAGGGGTAGAAAGAGTAAAGCCTTCTCATGCAATGTGCTTCAGCCTCCAATCGCAGAAGCAGTATGCCAGAATAACATTTTCATCGGCAACCCTTAGAGCTTAGATTGTGACTTGTCAGCTAGTCACAGTATGAGCAGCTGTATGCTGTGGTCTGGAAAGATAGTTTCAGATGACACAAATTTATTTCACGTAGAAAATTTACAGCCCATGCAATCCCAGCATCTGCTACAACTCATTGTGCAACCCCATCCCTTTCTATCATTTAAGACCACATGGTGTTCTTGCAGAGTCGCACTGTGGAGACTGCAGGCGACTGACTGATTGTCTCCATGCCAAGCTTTGAAGATAGAGGTTTTTCACCATTACAATCAAGGGAAAATTTTGTTGCTGATCAACCAGCAATGGTTATCAGTTCAGCCCTTCAAGGCTTAACACATTATTTTAGAGGGTTACCATATAATTACACTTCAATCTCAGTCAACATGCCTAACTCATGAATGTTTCATCAATGGAAAAACTACCAACATTTTTTAAGGTTCACAGAGACCCTACTGAAGAGAGAACCATTGGTGTTAAGACTCAATTAGACACAAACATATAATGTACCGATTCTACCCAAAGGCCAAAAGTATTCAATGTCCCCACTCTTACCTCAGATGCATTCACACGGCCTTCCTGGAAGGAGCAATCTGCAGCATTCTGTGTGCAGACATGACGGTATTTGCACCAGTGACAGGGGAAAGAGCCATTGACACAGGAGAGACAACTGGGGAAAAAACACACACACCACAAAGGATGAATAAATATTGGAAAGATTACCAGAAAATAATGTACAAACTCCAGCTTCACTTGCTTACATCTCTTCAAAATGAGGGTATTTCCTTTTGGAGTAGGGCGAATGGAAAGTTGTAGAGATGCTTGAGATCAAGGAGGGTAAACATTAGGGTAAACGGGGAAGCTGTTTTCCACCAAAATTAAAATATTAATCGAATTACGTCTGTTTGATGTGAGCGAGTTCTCGGAACCCAACGCAAATGGAAAAGGTGATTCCAGAACAGCAAGGTTTTACACGGAAACATCTTTAGGCCCTTGGATGAGGAGGCATAAAGTTTCTTTTGGCCTAAAACTAGCAAGCAACGTCATCTAAATAAAATGAAATAATTAAGAATCGTCAAAGAAGCTGCCTGCCATCAGTTACAAATGACTTGTGTAGAGCAAGAGTTATAATAATAATAAAAATCCTTGCATTTGATATAGCGCTTTTCACGTCTTCTCGACGTTTCAAAGCGGTTCACAGAATATGCTGTTTAGTGAATTGACTGTATATTTGTGGGTGAAACGCGGCAGCCAATTAGCTTTGTATTACTGTGACTCTCAGAGAACGCACCAGCCCTATCACAAAACAGCACATGGCAAACAACCAACTACTTGAATGCAGCTTTTGAGACTTCTGCAAAGCATTTCAGGCCAGTTGGCACGGTTGATGGTATCACCTGAATCCCCCAATCAGTTTACACAGTGCTATTCTATTCTCTTCTCTCTTATGCATACATACTGGGCAGGGGTGCAGTAGGAGGAGAGGAGGCTCATGTAGAGTATAAACACCAGCACTGACTAGTTGGTCCGAATGGCCTGTCTTGTGCTGTAACATTCTATATAATTCTATGTACTCAAATGTATTATTCTAGTTTCATTCTTCACATCTCAGACTCTAAGGATAATCCTTGCGTTTTGCCCACAAAATATACAGTCAATTTACTTTACAGGGTATTCTGTGAAGCGCTTTGAGACATCTCGGAGATGTGTTAAGGCGCTATATCAAATGCAAGAATTATTATTATTATTATTATTTGCCTTGCCACACTGAGAAGTCTCAAAACAGTTATTATGTAAAGTGTAGTGACTGTATTTGTAGGCATACTGCAAATATGACACGCTGTAAAACTCAGGACATCCACCGCTTGAGCTCCCTGGGCTAGGGAGGAGATGAGACAAGAGAAAAGAAAGCACACGGTGTCACCATTCACCTGACTTGTGACCTCTCTGGTGTCTGTGTGGGCACCGGTTGAATACAGGAGCAGACTCTGATATCTCCTCCAAGGCCGAAAACTCTGACAACCACTAGTCTATGCTCACGCACAGGTACAGCGGCTCCTAAGAAACTACCAGAAGGCTGCCATCCACAGTCTTCAGAAGAGGAGTGAAAATGGGGAAAGGCAGAGAATTAAGGTAATAAGAAGGCTGAGAACAGTGAACTCACGGCAGCTGAACTAACTGTGAAAGCCGTGCACCCTGATGTTTCTCCACAATCACTCCTCGGGCGACGGATGCCAGCACCGGATAAATCCACCAAAGAGCTGACATCAATAAAATGTAAGCCACTGACACTGGCCATCAAAACTGGAAACTATTGCAGACACATTAAGTGCAGTTTGATCAACAGCATTCCCGCCTCTGCCACTGTAGATCTTGGCCTTCATACAGTGGAGGGGAGAGGCCTTATTATTGGAAGATGCTGGAAGCTAAGAGCTGACAGTTGCTGTTTTAGCTGTCATCAGCATTCTGTCAGCTGTCGTTGAGTAATTCACAGGATTGTCCTCTGCAGCCTCACCTGTACACAGGTTATTAGTCAGTCAGAGAGAATAGGCCAGTCATAAGTTTGTTTCCCTCCTTCCCTCCCTCCTAGGTGTTTGCACAAGGCATCAACTACCTACTGCCTTATTCCAGGTTCCTTCTGCTCTTTCTTTACAACAGGCTTGAAGCACAAACATTCCCTCGACCACCCCAAAGCCTTTTATCTCTTCAGAAGCTCCCCTTAGACACTCAATACAGAACCCTCCACTATCCTGACGTCTACGTCCTCGCATCTAGTACTCAACTTAACTTGCCATGGGTTTCAGTGCCGTCAGTTTGCCAATGTTAACAATTGGCATATCCTCATAAGCCATAAGTTCTTTGGTTTTACCAAAGAACCACTGCAAAACAGAATGAAGTCCAGTTCTCCAACAGCATCAGAACCTGTTCCCAAATGGTTTGAAAAGCAGGGGGTGAGGAGCACCAGTTCATATTGGACGCTAGGTTGGAGGGAGTGTTAACTGCAGACTGGGTTAATCACCATTATATGCCCTGTAGTCAGTCATTGTTCAAGAAAAGATGAATCTCTCACACAATCCCCCCCACCCCCACTGCACACACAACTAATATAAATGAATGCAATTTCCCAAATCCAGAACCTTCAGCAGCACGAGTCCAGATATTGAAGCATAATGCAGGTATGGGATTCTGAGATACATTTTCCAGACTCTCTGGCATTACTTGTAAATTGAGGAACACTTAAAAAGTTGCATCCTTTTACTCGACTGGAAAAAAAAACGAGGCTCATCAACAGATCAGTGACTTAAAATTTGTGCTCAGCTTGCAATCTTTACAATTTCATGATTAAGCCTGAATTTTGCCAAATGACAAAACCTTCAGTGACAGCTCTTTCATCAGTGGCGAGTTTGCTGCCAATGTCAGCCACTCCCATACAGCAATGCAAACAGCCAACACAAACTGACATCACTCACTGGTGTTAGTGCAGCACTCCCATTTGCTAATTTGACTATTACATCAAGGAAAAATCGGCCAAAAATACATTGTGTCCATATGTTAGCTCTTCGCTGGAGGAATTAGAGATTCAGGCACAAGCTCTAAGTCACTTCTTGGTTATTGTTCCAACACCAACAGTATTCAAGTGCCAAACCCCTTCCCTTCTCCTGTCTGGAAGATTTATACAGATTACAAGAATCAATGAGAGCCAAACTATTTGTGGCTAATCTAACCACAAGAGATAATAAACAAGTCCCAACTCCTCTGTGTCTCTCCCTCCTTCTAACAATGAACTGTTATGATGAAGAGATAATAATAATCATAATCCTTGCATTTTGATATAGTTTTTCATCACATCACCGAAATATCTCAAAGCGCTTCACAAGATATACTGTAAAATGACATGACTGTGTATTTTGTGGGCAAACTCGACAGCCAATTACACATAACTATGTCTCACAACCTTGGAATGTGTGACCAATTTTATCTGGGAGACTGTCAGCCAGGACATAAGGAGAAGCTCCCTTCTCTTTTAAAATCTTTTCTGACTCGGAGAGAGGCTAGTGCGCTACCAACTGAACCAGGCTGACACTTGGTAACCAGGTTTCAGTATACACGGCTCACCTTAACCCAGAGAGTCGTCCAGGACTCACGAACATTCAAAAACATCACAGCAACTGTTTCTGGCTCTTTTGACAGAGCATTAACAGTGAAGAGCAAATGCGATGGGTGGCTCAGCTCAGTACATACTGCAAGTAATTGATAGCAGACAAAGAGGCTATTCTGCCAAACTAATCCTCACTGGTGTTTATACTCGATGTGAGCCTCTAATACAAGAAAGAGGAAGGAGAAATTCCATAAAAATGAATGTTTCCTAAACTCTCTCTTTCCCTGGAAAAGTCTCTCTGGCTGGAAAACGTATGAACAGAGGGTTAGGACAAGATTGAGCCGCCTATTGTGATGCTCCCTACAGTCAAACAGACTGCTAGCCTCATTGCCTGGACTCTAACACGAGGAATAAACAGTGATTGAGCTGCCAGTGTGCAAGGAAATATGCCTCAATAGGGACGCGCTATCTTCACCAGATTAGAGGAAATTGAAAGAAGTGAAAGACTGCAAACTACTCCAAACAGAGTCAACGTAGAGCTACGTTTCACCAACTCCACCACTCTTAGCAGTCAGGAGCTTGATCGAGTTAAGCAGAAAGCAAGCGAACACATAAAGGCACGTTTTTTCAGGTGCCAAAGTCCTAAGCCTCAGAGCTGCTGAAAGTGGCTGATAATTTCTGGCTGAAGGAATGTCTCCTCATCGCCCGCCAGCTAAATAAAATGTGAGATGAGATGGCTTTAATGAATATAGAAAAACAAACTCGCTGCACATGATGCCCCAGAGAATACTGATAGCTTATTTACGGTGGATTCCTGCCCGAGGGCAGAACTCAGAGAATACAGTATTAATACGTTCTTCCCTCAAAATAAGCAGCATCACAGCGGCCAACAGGGTTAGGCTGATGGGCTTGGTTTCAAAAATAAACAAGAGGAAAACATTGGGACACAGTCCTTTCACCTCTGAGCTCCAATCCAACCCAAGATGAAGACAGGCAATTCTCCTCTTTCTGTTCGCTGCTAGGATCATGCACTTTCCGTTTTCGGATAGTTGAATCCAACCCTAGCTAAGTTTCCCCAATCCTTTTTGTACTGGCTTTTCTGACCTTGATAAGCAAACTCATCCCATTCTATGCTGGTCAGCCAACCTTAGTGGTGTCACTTTGTGTAGTCTTTTTCCTTCGAAACATGCCATCGACGAAGTTATCCTCTGTCCTCCATCCTTCCCTCCTGTATTAAAAATTCAGACTCTACGACATGCTCTCCCAGGAGCCAACGACTGTAATTCACTTGTCCACGATTTCCGTCTTGTCTTCATCCTACTCTTCATCTTACAACCCAAAGCCCTTAAACATCCAAGTCTACCTACACATACCTGTAACCTTATGATTTATTTCATCCTCTCTCCTACTCCCAGTGCTCCAGCATGTCTTGTACTATGATCACTGAGAACCATCGCCCAGACACCGTGATGGTGTGTCCCTTGCCAGGCTCTCACCACTCATCAACATAGAGGCTCGTTCTGCCCGTATTTTAGTTAAAGACAAAGAAATGAGATATTAATATGAACAAC